AGGAAGAAGCTTCCAGCCTGTCTTACATTTCACTAAACCTTTAAATAACTGAGAACAAACTTAACATAGGTCCTTTGTCTTTGTTCTTTTTTTAAAAAGACTGACTCACTTTATGACTCATTTTCCCCCCTTGTTTATCTACAATCATTTTATGCCCATAAAATGAAGCAGTAAGTCCTTTAAACTGTAATCCAAAAAGTGCTGGGACATTTTAGTTAAATGCAAGTGACCGCATTAGTAAAAAGAACACTTTCATGAGTTTACTAAAGCAGTAAACACCAACTGGTTGAGGTAAAGCATTTTAGTTACTGGACAGTTTAAGCTATCGTTATGTAATAAAAATATCAGAAATTATTTAGAGATTACCCAGTTAAACAGTTCAGGACTTGGGCGAATGCACAGAGGTACAATCACATTTAATATGCACATTTAATACATAGTTGCGGTTGGTCTGGCACTTACTTGTTTTGATACTCTTTGATGACTTGATATATGGTCACCTTCAGGGTAATATTGTCGTAGCGGGCATGACTACGGTCCTTATAGATCCTAAACTCAGCTGCAGTCACTGCCTCCCCGTCCGGTATTTGAGTCAGATCAAAACGGAACTCCTTGTAGTGTCTTCGTTGGTGAGAAAAATCTTTATCTTTCTCCACTGGAAAAGAAAATACTTTATGACAAAGTTGATTTCTACCGGGAAGAAAAGTTGATAAAAATATATATATATATGTATAAATGTATGAGTTCACCTCCTAAACTGCTTCTTAAGCTGTTTAAAGGAAAAAATATGCTAGCATCAATGCGCAGGAAAAAAGTGTAATTTATCACATCTTCTTTTGCATTCAAGGTCCAATCCAAACATTTTGACTACCAACAAAAGCACTTTCCAGTTCATTAAATCAGTCAACTCAATACAGGTAGCAGTTCCCAGACAGGCCCTCTACTGTGTGCCTAACTGCATTCTCTGGCCATGATGAATGGGCTGTCAGTTAAGAAAAACAGGCTGATTTCAATTAAAGACACTTTCGTCTGCTCCTCAAGTAAGAAAAAGAGCAGACAGGATTCTTCAGCATCACATGAGTGTCTACTCTGACCTCTTTTCTGACCTCATTCTGACCCCTGCTAGGCTTCATAAAAAGTAGCTAACCCTTAAGCTTGAAAGTAAAATATTTCTAATATAACAGATAATATAAGATTGCTTTTTAAGGCTTGTCTTTGTTTTTCTTAATCGGTAGATTTGTTTTATACCTATGTGGAGACAAGTGGAGGATATCTGATTTTATATATATATATATATCCTCAATTTCAGCATCAAAAAGCTCCAGTGTACCTACATTAGGAACATGCTGACAAAGTGACCTCGGCCATCTCTCACCTCCACCTGGTAGCAGAGAAAAGGCATGTGGCTGAGGTCAGCGGATGTTCTGACATCCACGGTGATATCATGCAGTGCATTTCCCTGATATTTTATCGAGAGGGAACGCCTGCCGTTACTTAGCACAAACAGGTCAGAGGTCAGCTCTGACTTTTACCCACTGAGCGCGTTCCATTATATTAGCCACGGGTGGTAATCTGAAACAGAAGTGCCACTGAGAACACAGAGCATTTACCTTTGAAATAGCAAATTATTAAATAAAAATGTAAGATATCAGTTTTATTCAGCTGGTTCTAACTGGGCTGTAATGAAATTATCAAATGACTGATGTTTCATTAATAAAAGACCCCCTTTTTATGCTGTCTTGTGTGTTTGGATGTTTGAATAGCTGGCTTCTTATTGATACTAGAGTAAGCATATTAAACCGCATAAAATACCACATAGACATTTTAAAACAGTTGAGGTCAGTAGCTATATGTGAGTGTACTGTAATAAAGACAGAGCCCCATTGAACACTCCACTGACAGTCTCCAGAATGAGAGCAGAGCCTTCAAGCCTGACAGTGTACATGCCCTGGTGTAGCTGTAAGTGGAAACAGATGGGCTGAGACCAAGGTGAGGGAATAATGTTACAAGCAAGTCTCCACAAATTCGCTTTAACATGTTTTACTTTGTATTTTGGAAAATACAATCCTTAAAGAATAAAATTGTGAAACTTTGTTAATGATATGTTACAGGGATTTGTTTTTAAATATTCAGTTCTGCAGGACTGTGTAATAGTTTGATTAATATTCTCAGTGGCATTGCAAATATTTTTAATCTCATGATGGAATAATAAATGGTACAAATAGCACAAATATTATGAAAGGGGCTTGTGGTTTCTCTTAGTGACAGAACCTCAAATATGAGTATCAGTCAGTATCACCCTCTTTTAACAACAGGAAATAATTTAGGCCAATTTTCTCAAGGTCAGACAGTCATCTGATAAGTCGCTGTGAACTGCTGGGTTAAGGGTCGCAGCTACCGAACAAACACAATCATTATACATAAAAGCGACTTAAGAAAAAAATAGAAAGCAGCACAAATTGATGGGTCAAAACGTTCAGCTCGATTGTGTTAAATACAAAATATTTAACAGGAGTCTGTAGCAACCCCTCGGTACTCTGAGAATGACTGATGTCTGACGACGAACTTTAATTTTTTTACATTTAGATGCACAAATGTCTTTTCAAAAATTATAAATCTTGAATTTGCTCCTCGGCAAGTTTTTGTATGAGAGGTAGCACAGGTTTCTTAAAAAAAATATTGCACGTGTGTCCGGTTATTTTCCAGAAATAAGTGTTAATATTTTTCATCCCAAAAAGCAGGCTCGTTCAGCTTATGTTGGTATTTTAAGATTTGCCTTAATGTCATCTATAATAAGAGAAATAAAAAGTTTAAAATCCCTCACTTATCTCTGTCGAGGAAATAGAAATCTAGTGAAAGATGAACAAGTCAATTTCTTTCAGTGTCCGTGATAACCAAGAATCACCTGCACATAATGTATATATTGATTTATAGCACGTGTGGATATTGATCCCGTCTTAATGACACTTACCCAAATTGACAAAACTCATAACCATGTCGGCGTCATTGAGAAAGTTGGTGTCTTGCGCTGTGGTGAGTGCGGGGCTGTGGCCTACGAGAGGGGCCGCTCGGTAAGGCTGTGCCACACGGGAGTAGCCGGCATGCTGGGGGTTGTAGTAACTTTTCCTAGAGTGCCCTTGAGCCTTGGCACTAAAGCTCTTCCCTGCGCTCTCCTGCACGCCCTCCTCCTCATCCACGGCCATGGCGTTGTACAGGTCGAGCATGAACAGCGGCGCGGAGGACGCCTGCTTCCCGGGAGAGAAGGGCCTGGGACGGTGAGGCAAGCCCAGGATGGAGAGGATCTCTCTCTGTATCTCCCTGCGCTCGTGATTGCGCAACCTCCTGTAAATAAAACTGGAGTGCACATGATTGTCACTTAAAACGCAATGCACGCACGACAGGAAACTCAAACAGCTCCACGCAAGTCCAAGTACGGCACGGTTCAAAGGTGTAAGCGCTGTCATCTTGACAAATCAGCTCACTTTGAGATGTGAAGATGAACTACATCGCACTCAGTGAAGGGAGAGAAAAAAGCGCAACAATTTATGCTATAGTTGTGCCAACACGGAATCATAGACTTTCCATATTAGCCAGAGGCACCACAACTTTCACGGTGGTAACTGAGGAGGCTTTTAGCAGTCTGCCCTTCTACAAATGAGGTATCAGCTTGCAGAAAAATCGCCGCTCCTCTCCTGTGTGCGAGCTTCCTCCAGCAGCAGTATTTACGCCTCCAGGGTCCATCCGAAGTCTCAGCCACACCAAGTATTTATGGAGCTGTGTGACCCCGTCCCTCACCTTACTCCTTTGTGATGAAAAAACGTGTAGGTACGCCCATAACGTCGGGGGATAACCTGGAGTTTCCAAGTGGATAAAATGTGTTGAACGGTGTCAAAATTAAGCAGAGAGAAGCGTTCGACTCATGCCCCGGCGCGCATTTTTCTTTCCCCCCTCTCTCTCACTTTTTTTTCTCCCCACTGAGAATGTGTATTGGGGCTAGTTGCCCTTTGAGTCCACCCCACACTCCTCAGCTTTTGTTTTTGCGTCCTCCTCTAGCGGCCGCAATAAAACTTCAGCCCGGTCCCATGATGAATGTGGCGGCTCAGGAGTGTAAAAGGAGACACTTGAAATCCGAGAGGCCTTCTTAACGAGTGAAAGAATAATGACAGAGCCTTTTAATCACCTCAAGTTATTGAAGTCTTCATAAAAGAGGGTTTCAGCTGCATCCACCGCAAAACAACGAGGGTCATATTTTTATCATGTATGGAGGATTCACAGGTATGGAAATATTAAATACACTAACAAACAAGGAGAATATAGTAAAGCCATAATTCAGGACGGGAGGAGATAAAGGCCTACTGTAAACCACATACCGCACGTGGCTATATGCTTTAATTTAAAATTACATAAATTCACTCAACAGCAAGAATTAAACATGAGTATTTAAGTTTATTGCAGAAAGCTCCACCCTCATGGGACATGAAATAAACACAAGCGAAAGCCGCCGTGCTGGGATAATTAAACATATAAACAGAGAGGGATTCACGTGTGATGAGTGGCTACTGTCCAAAAAGGGGGAAAAGGAAGTCTTCTTAGAAAAATTCATACGCATACTAAGATGTTGCCACATAGCGCCATCTAGCGTAAAAACCTGAACCTGAAGTGACTGAAGTTTCCCTGCCAGTCACAGAGCGTTTTAGCTGAAGCTGCGCTCATCCAAGTTTCCTAAAGCAGTGTGTCCTAATTCGACGAGCCACGCGATGATCTCTCTCCTCTTTTTTCTTCCAAACCCATCACCGCACTTAATCCCCTTTTGATGCTTCACTTTGAGTGGAAACTCCCAAGTGCAAACCACACCCACGATTCCATGTGAAAGATGAGATCAGTGATGTGATAGGAGAGCAGAAATAAACGCTTTAGTTCAGAGACAGGACAGCAAAAGCCAAACAAAGTTCACAAATCCTTTAAAATATATTTTTTTTAATTCTAGTTTTTAAAAAAGAAAATAAAAATGGCAAAAGTCATACCTTCACACCAAATAATAACATTACAAAAGATGTTTAAGAAAGGTCACTGCTGAAATGTGATGTGCCTCTCTTATAAATTAAAAAAAAAACAACCTGCTACAGTAATGAAAGGTAAGCTGGGGGAACATAAATGGATTAAAATGTGAAACTAAAGTGTTGGTGTGTTCATAGATGGAACATTTTTATATATATATATATATATTACATCCTAAATATAGAACAAATAAGACATGGCAATGAATGGAGAAGTATTGCAGTAGGAGGGTAACCGGGGTGATGTGTTTTCACGCACAAAAGTCAGAATGCTTTATGAACTCGAGCTTCCAGGAGTGAGTACTCAGCAAGAGGATATCAAAGTCACAGTTTTGCGCTAAAACGTGTTAATTTCTGTGATAATTCATCACGAATCAATTCACAAATCATCATTGTTTTTTCATGTGTGTGTATGTGTGTTGATTTTTGTTGTTCTGTTTTTTAGTGGAACATGTGGCACCTGCCCTATGTGCAGTAAAATCTTATAACGCAACATGCAGTGAAGGAACACAAGGGGGCAATATAAGAAAGTGTACCAGCCACAGGGACATACAGTACAAACTTCAAGATTATTAGGAGTCAAATATGTCAGCCAACTGCAGTCAAATGCTTTAGTAACACCTTATTAAGATGTGACCAAACAATCACCGTTCATTTAGCATTCACAAACAATTTGCACAGACTCACAATGTACACATAGGCCTTATACTCATAGGTGTCACACTGGAAATGGTGGGTTTATTTAGGTGTGGTGTTCACAAGAATCGAAAGGTTGCATGTAAATAATGTTCAACATAATTGACTGTATGTGTAATCTGCACATACAATCTACACCTCACGTTTTGAAGTAGGTATGCATGTAATTAGTTGATGTTAATGCAGTGCATGCCATAAATCTCATTCAAAGTAAATGATGGCATGGCTCAAAATGGGTCCTTCCTCTGAGCTTACTAAATGCCAACAGCTTCAGACAACAGCAGGATTGACAAACACCTCAGACTCAAAGGTGTTCTCATTAGTTCTAATTATAAATTCATCTCTTCATCGAGATTAAATATAAGGCTCAAACAGTAAACAGGTGTATGTTTTTTGTCAGCAAACCAGAAGATTTGGTAAGATTGTGTTGGAAAACCATAATAAGCTTTCTTGATATGCAATAAAATCTTGATTAGACATTTATGTTTGCTGGCGTTTGGTATGCTGCACCTAATACAACATCCATCAAACTGTTAGCTGTAGTGTGTTCATAGATGGTGTGCATGAGTCTATGCGTAGTAATCTTAAATGCAGTGAGTACTGTGCGTTACATGGCTGGCACATTTGATACCTCATACAAGGTGCTTGGATAAGAGGTATTCACTGGAGCCAATCATTAATCCTCTTAACACCATTAAATTTTCAAAGAATGTTCAAAGCCATATGACTAATAATACAAAATACCATCAAAGAAACTGGGATGCTTAAAAGGTGTCACATAAACGGTGTCAGAAGAGGTACGTTTTGTTTCCATGTCAGAGAGGAACTATAATGGTGAGATCTTCCTGAGAATATCTGTTCTGCATCAGCTTTACACTGGTGCCTGCAGTGATGCTGCCTTGTGTCAATAGTTTGGGCCTTTGCTGTAAGAATCCCGCCTCATCATGCCTCCATAGCACATGGATGGATCGCACACACCAGGCTCACCAGGGATGCCAGGATTACCACTTTTACCCTCTGGGCCATTTTGACCAGGGGGCCCAGGTTTGCCTGGAGTACCTGGTTTACCATGTCCCTCCGGACCCATTGGACCTGTGAAGATATAAATAACAAGCAACCACAATGGAACACAGCTGAAAGCTAAATACCAGATATCCACTAAAAGTGCTTCTGCACTTTTACATGACCTTATCAAATGAATGACAAATAAATCTGTGATGTTCTTTACCTGGAGGTCCAGGAGGCCCATGATCTCCAATCATGACCCGACCAGGGCTCCCCTTCTCCCCTTTGAAACCTGGTTCTCCTGCAAACACAAGTGTCCTTGTTAGAGAGATTGTGCAGAAAGTTTTAGGATATGCGACTAACTTGACCTTTATTTTACCTTTGAGACCATTAATCCCAGGATACCCCGGCCGACCAGGGCGGCCTGGCAGTCCCCTAGAACCACTAAGCCCAGGAAGACCTCTGAGTCCCTGGGGCCCCATTGGACCTGGTGGGCCAGGAGATCCAGGCTGACTTTGACACCTGGTACAGCTACTCTGCTGATTGCTCAGTATCAATAGAGGCAGCTCAGCTGGAAGGATTGATAATGAGATAGTTTCATTTGGGGAAAATACATAAAAAATGTTCAGCAGGTAGTTTAAAATGATACGTACCCTGAAGAACCTCTCTGCATATCTGCCGAATGTGATTGTCTGACATTGCACTTAACTGCAATATAAAGTGATAGACCACGACCAACCACTAAGTTATACATAACACGATTACAAAAAACCTATTACAAACAAGGTGTTAGTACAGTATAAGGCACACGTACATATCTTCCTTCGGGTCCAGGTGGGCCAGGAGGGCCCATATCTCCCCGCAACCCTCGGGGGCCTGGTTGGCCTGACTGACCTGGCTGTCCAGGTCGTCCAACTTGACCTTCTTGACCTCTCTGCCCCAGATCCCCTGCTGTCCCTTTCTGGCAAGGATACCACCCCATTATTAGTAATACTAGTTATTATTCATGTTACACTGAGGTAAGGTAATTGCTTTATTGAGCTTGACATACCTCTCCTTTCAGACCCATTGGACCAGCTGATCCCTGTCAATCAAAGTAATGATAAATAATTTAAAAAGATGATAAAACATTCTGAAAAGCACTGTAATTGACATTTACTATTATCATTCTCACTACGTACCACTTATTAGCATTTGTGTGTTTAGGATTATTCCTGCCCCCCCCCCAAAAAAAAAAAAAAAAAACTAGAATAGTAGGGCATCAAACTCCAAAATATAGACAGATAATCTGATTTTTGGAGGTATTGAAGAAAAAATATTATCTACTGATTTTCTTGTCCAAATTTAGTTAAATCTCAATACCCGGGTAAGTAAGTATTTTGGTGGACTGGGCCATGAATCGGTGATGCTAAACTATGCATTTGTACCAGAAACTGTTTTCTTACACGTGTAGTTATGATGCAACAAAGCCTTTCAAAATTAACTCACCACACCCCCTGGTTGCCCCTGCTCTCCGTTTTCACCTTTCATCCCCTGGTGCGGAAATCATTAGGTCAACATTAGATTATAAAAAAAAAAAACACATAAAATCAGGTTTCAGACTTCAGCCAATGCTGTATATGCAAAGTACTGTAGATGGTGCTGTCCATCAAAAATTCCACTTAAAACAGGAAGAATGACACATATTTATAGTAGTATTGGGTTTTAATGTAGGGTGTAGCCATTTCATTCTCATTAGCATTGCTTAAATTAAAAAAAACATGTTGTTTACATCCCAGATCAGAGAAACTTCCAAAAAAGCAAGTAAAGCTGACGTGAAAGCTTCCAAATCCAGATACAAGATGTGATAATAATGATTTGTAAATATATTAGTAGACTGAACTATTATGAATTCTATGTCCAAAAAACCTTCCATCAGGAGAGGTTCATCCTTCCAGACAGCAGACACAAGCCTGGAATAGACTTTTGATTTGAGGTTCCATGGTTTCACTGTAATTGCTGTTTTTGGACAGAAGCAAATCTTAATCCAACACCCAATGGTGATGTAATTTAAAACAGAGGTTGTGTTCTCAATTTTCTAACCATTATTTGATCTGCTTAACTTGTGCTGAGTGCAATATAATTTTGTCTTGAATCTTACCATGTCACCCCTTTCACCTGGGTTCCCCCTCTGTCCCTGTGAAAACAACAAAGGCACAGAGTTTCATTTTATAACATGCTTTTAAAGTTAAACACACTAAAGTCTGTGCATATCACAAAAAGAAAACTAACACCAGACTTTTTGTAGCGTCTTTGTACAAATTACAAATATTACCTACAAAACTGATTGTGATTTACGGCTAATTGATATGAGTGTACAGTCATTTTTATAACTGCCATTTCTCCAGACCATGGACTTAAAATTCAAAATCTAAACAGACTTAACCCTGACCTGGAATCAAGAGAATACTTTGAATTTCTGACTAGATGTCAAAATTCTGGTGATATCAACAAAAACAGATCATGGAAATACCTTGCTTCCCTTCATTCCTGGCATGCCTGGGTGCCCTGGTTGACCTGGACTTCCTGGTTGCCCTGCAATGCCCTTTAAAAGCATTCAGTTAAACCCAGTAGTTAAAAATGGAAGCAAACAAAAGAAATAACTGTTATTTAAGAAAGATGCTGTTCAGCCAGAACATCATAACCAGACCCTTCAAAACACTAGCATAGGACCTGTCAGGGTGTCCTGTAGGGTCTAGCACAGGGTTGTAGAGCTTCTGGATTAATGAGTAGGGCCTCTGTGGGGTCATGCTGTGGTATTCAATGGGTTTTGCAGCTGAGGAGTTTCTATAGGAGTTTGTCATTTTCTTTTTGCAGTTCTTTATCAGTGTTTGTGGTGTGGCAGGGTGCATTGTCTGCCTTTGTGGTCTGTAACACCGTTTAGGTACGTAGTATGCATCAAAGTTTAAATGCCAAATGTTTCCCACTAGAACATTCCATTTTAAATAAAGGAAATAATGTATTTTACCTGTCAGTGTGGTTTGTAGTTAATGTTGTGGCTAATCAGTGTGTACTGTGGTTTTGATTTATATACTGCATTAATTATCAGCTTCCAAAAGAACTTGCTCATCTGGTTCATATTTAAATGGTAACATACCGCAAGCCCCGGTGTGCCTTTTATGCCCGGACTTCCTCTTTCACCCATATTCCCCTTAACGAAGAGATAAAACACATTTTAGATTGCAGAAAGAATACAATGAGATAGCATCCAAACCACATCCTATTATGAACTGGAGTGTGGCTGATATTTTCGCTTTCTTATCATAATTCATTTTCAGTGATACATGCCATAGTTTGAGCATACTGTCATGAGGTTTTGGGATTGTGTAGTTTGAAGTTTAATTGTGTCTAGTCGGTGCTTTCTTTTCCAGCTGAACAAGCCTCTGTAATTGCAGTCTGAAGTTCAGCCATAAAATCAAAGTAGTGCCTGCATGTCCATAAACTACGTTTTCACTTGTGTGCCATTTACCAATACGCATTGGCTTGTTAAAAGCAGAACAGCTAATGAAAAATGATTAGGAGACAGCGTGTCCAGACCAGACAAGCCCAGACTGCTTACATTTCCACTAAAATTCCACTGACGAAAGCACTAGGTCCTGATCATTGCTTAATTTAGCTCCACTGGAGAGGCCAGAAGATCGTTACTTGTTCTAAAGTGTATTATAGCAAAACAGGGACCAAACAAAACATGCAATGCTGCCGGCGAAGTACTTTTTCTTGTTTTTCCTCAAAGCTTAGAAAGCATCAAAGATTCAACATTATCCAAACTAATGTGATCATGTGCTGCAATTCATTTAGTATCGGCTGGACAATATATATACTGATGCATGACATCATGCCATACTGATCTGCTGTACTTGGAGGCAGCTGCACTGCATTGTAATTGGAGACAGTTTCAATCAAGCTTGAGCTTGCTGCTCACTAATGCAAGCATGGATTAATGTGGATTAATCTTAAGTTATTGATTTCTCTGTGTCGCACTTTTAACTAGTGCATTCACAGCCCGAGGGCTATGGAGGGGGATAAACTCACGTTAACCTCATAGTTTATCCTGTATTAAATGTCTGTTGGTAAGATCAAAGTCAGCCATTATTTCAGTTCATTCTTTTTTTCATCACAGCTGTTTGAAGAAGCTGAAACATGATGTTCTAACAGGCGTAAATCATTACCTTCAGTCCAATCGGTCCTTGCAAACCTGGTTCACCAGGTAATCCCATTTCACCCTGCAAAAGAGGGCAAAACTGTGTTGCTAACTCTTCAGATCAAACATAAACAAGAACAGCTATTAACTTACAGGTGGTCCAGTCGATCCTTTAAAGCCCCTGGGTCCAGGCTCACCAACTTCTCCCTTTAATGAGAATCTTATCAGTCAAATATAGTCATAAATAAATAAATAAAGCAAAACCATTGTTGAGTTTGCTTTGCACATACATTAGGAGCTCTTACCTTTTGTCCATCAAGGCCTGCATTTCCAGGCAATCCAGGCATACCCTAAGAGCAACGTGGTGTTCCAGTTAGTATATTTAATAATGCAAAGAAGACAATATGACTATCAGTGCTACAAATTTGCATTGTAAGAAACAGAAATGGCATTTTTTATAAAATTTCGAAGGCATCGTTTGACTTTATGCCTTATCATTGTTGTGAAATGATCATTTCATTGTGTCAGTAGCAATTGTTGTTATTTTCTCTCCATAAAAAAACATTATCTTGTCCTTGTGGATGGAGAAATGCCTACCAAAATGTTATGCTTCCCAGATGTGGTTGGTTAGTTTACATGAGAAGCAGAGTAAAGTAGCTTGAGGCTTTTTCTGAGGCTAAATTCTTGTGAGTAACAATTTAGTAAATGTAATCACCCCCAAATCAAACTATTTCCTGCAATTTAAGTTTGTTCTTTAAACTAAACCACATAGATCCCTGGAAAAACCCTATGTGCCTCAGCTGAACCTCAGTTAAATACACTGTATTTGCAGATAAATGCAATAATTTTTAAGTGAATGGTTTAATGCACTGAAAGGTTTTTAAGGTCAGCGTGCAGCAATTACTATACTTTTTTGTGTTTCAGTTATCTTTTCTTAAATAAATGCTTTCAGATGCAGCCTTACAAAGAAGTTTCAGTGTGCATAGAGGACAAATGGGATAGGAAGGCAGTGAGAGAGTATATAGTGTTGCCGTGAACACACTCCTCGCCAACACGTGAAGAAATCCCCTTGTTGGGACCTACAAAGAAGAACTGCATCTTGTTTTAACTTGAGGAAGCGCAGTTCTAATCCTGCCTCCTTGGATACGTTGCTAGCACTATTGTTCTGATGGGGGAAAATGGCTTACAGCCTTGTGGAGCAACTGAGTCATCTTTTGCGGACCCATCGCAAACGTTTGGATGAGGCTTATAATCATGATCAGTGGGGTGGCTGCCCAGTTGAAAGACTTTCTTCCTAAAACAGATTTGCCAGAGCGTCATAGCATTCCCCCGATGAGTTACTTTCACTGCATGAGTCTGTTACATAACAGGGTTATCCTGGGATGAACTACAGGGGAAATACCCCTAATTTACTGCCTGTCAGGGGTAGTCTTTGTACTGACACTGTGTTAACACTGCAGTCTTCATACACCAAAAAACATTATACGTGCAAACCTGCATGATCCGTGAAATCGGCTCTTGCATTGGCCTACTTTACTCTTCTCTTTGTATGTTTCTACTATTATTTCATGCTAGAACATTTGTAAAACATTATGTAATGTACCACAGTCACAGTGGTCTGCACTTCTGGTTCAAAATGCTTTGCTTAAAAGTTAAAATCTAAAAAACAATATGATATTCATGCAAGTCTTCAATGTCTAGGACTCCAATTAAAGTTGCAAGACAATACCAGCATCTTAAGCAACCTGGAAAATACCAAACCTTTGATCAGCACTGTCTATGTGTGTGTTTATGACTTACAGGATGGCCTTCCCTTCCGTCAGTACCAGGAATACCACTGGCTCCAGCTTCTCCCTTAATACATTTGGAAAAAAAACTGACATTTAATTTCATCAAAATTTATAGTTAGAAGCCCTCAATTCCGATACCTACATGCCAGCTCAATCACAGTGCCCGACATTTTAGTCAATTTGAGTCAGTCAGTCGACATCTATTTAAAATGTGAACTGCATGCTCGATGTTTGCAAAAGCTGGGAATTGGAAAAGAACAAGAGGGACACTTGGTTATGCATGATTCGATTTCAACATAGGGGAACAACTAAGTCTTTTAGGAGTGTGTGCACTCATCCAACCTTGTGTCTCTATTATTCTCCTAATCCCTGAATGAGCTTTGTAACATACTACACTGTCAGAACAAACAGACCTTTTGACCAGGTCTTCCTGGAAATCCACTCTTTCCATCTCTCCCAGGTAGACCCTGAAATCACAGAAAATTATATTATATACACAATTATGATGGGCTGTGAGTCGATTCTCAGTTTTTTATACATACAGGTTCTCCCAGAGGACCTTGTGGCCCAAGAGGTCCTATACTTCCTTTTTCTCCCTGACAGTAGACAATCAGCCAGTTAAAGCATGCATATTTCATGTTTAAACCTCTGAACTACTTTCAGGATTGTGTGCACACGTACCACTTGTCCAGTTTTTCCTGGTAACCCTGCTGCTCCCGGGGTCCCTTGTGCACCCTAAGGAAAGATTTTAACCTTCAGACAGCCGTGTATCAACATCTGCTCCAGAGTATCAGAGTTGTTTGTGATATACATTGATGGAAAAGCAAACAACTTTTTGTTAATCTAATGTAGACAGAGAACTTCATAGTAAAGTCTGCTCTGTGACAAATATGCAGCAGCAGTGGTCTTTTCTGTTGCCTAGATAAACTGTGAACTTAACTATTTGGACTGAAACTTCAGGGAGTGGCATGTTGTATTGCATCATTGGATATTTTTAAATTTGCACTTGTTGACCGAAAACTAGACATTAGTAAAGTTTCTGTTATGCATTGCCAAGTTAAGGGAACAATGCGTCACTGGATTATCACATACTCAGAAGGAAAAAAGCCTGATTTTGGAACAAACGGGGAATTGCATCACTTGTTTTTCTGCATTCAAAACTATGCTAATGGCCTCAAGAAGGAACACATTACCAAGATGACATTTGTTACTGGCTGACTCAGTGACTTTGGTTGTCGACATTTTTGTTGAGATTCTGTTTGCAAAAATATGCTGAATGCAAAAAACACCGTTGGAAAAGTGTAGACGTTTCTCTCTTTCTGTCTCAGCCCCATTTGTTGTTCACTTAATAAACATGACCCAGTAGCATGCTCATACTCAACTCTCAAAAAACACATCAGAAATCTCCTTGGCTATAATACTGTAATCTTGTTTGCAATGGATATCAAATGAGCTATGGCAGAGGGATTAAAGACGCATTTATGAAAGCTTGTTGTTGGTCTTCACGCTGCAGTGAGTTTTGATAAATAGGGTTTAGTTTTACTTGTAAATGCTAAGATGTGCCAACCTATATGACAACACAGAGCTTAAAAGAAGGACAGTCTTGGAGACTGCACTATAAGCTGACTGACCAGCGACTTGCAGAAAGCTTTTGCTATGGGTCTCATGCTAACAGGTGTGTTTACTTTCGAAGCAGAGATGCGGTTTTCATTGATTTCTGCTGAAATGAATGCCACCATTGTAGTTACAGTGTTAATAAACTACAGAGATCAATATCACAGGCCGGATGCCCACATAATTAGCAACAAATTGTTCATTGAAGGGTGATGAATGACTGTGGCCATGAACAACTACCACAGACTGCAAATACACAAACATAACCTTGAATTATGTCCTCCTGGCTTAATTTGGCAGACATCTCATGTTTCTGTTCTCTACATCCTATGCCAGGAAAAAAAGATTGCACCCTTGGTGGTCTTACTATATGGGAATAGTTTGAAAAGGCAGATTGAAACATGTTTGTATCCAAAGAAAACAGTTTATTCTGCAAAGGGAGGAACCTAAAGAAAAGCTTTCGTAGGTCCTTGCTAAGAAAGGTTTTTTGGCTATTGTTCTGCATTGGAAACAGAACAATAGCTGAGAGGAAACGCCTTTTGACCCAGACATGAAGGGAAATTTGGTTTAATTAGACTATTTAAAGCTGATTGCCAAATGGTTATAATTTATGATATAATATTTATTCTTTCTCCCACAGCTAGGAGGATTTCATGCATGTAGTCCAATAATGCTCTTTTCACTGTTTTGGCCTCACAATGTGTGTGGAATGTCCTTCAGTGAAGTCCGGGCAGAAAAGCCTCTGTCCATCTTCTGACGGAGACTAAAAACCACTTTTTCAGACTACCTCTGCTACCTCTTACTCAACAAGAGCAATCCAAGACTGCATGCCTCTGCCAAGGTTGAAAAATTCCCTCCACATCATCCATGAATTAAATCCCTGGATCCAGAAAGATATCTGGATCTGGACTAGTTTGTGATACTGAGACAATGTCTCTCTGCATTTCTCGTAATGGTAAAGAATTCTTCCAAAGGTTTCCTGGATCTAGACTCATATTTAGATTGACTCCAAACCCCTTATTACTTATAATCTGGGCAGACCCTATTCCTGGTAAAATCTTCATGCATATCTTTAAGAGTCCTGCAAGCAACCTAAGAAACCAAACCAAACCAATTACGTAACACAAAAATCTTTTAGAGCTCTGTTTATAAAAGAGGTACTCCCACATTTGGATGATATTTAGCTTTTGCTCCACTTAGGTTAAAATTCACTTCTTGTAAGTCACTGTCTGCCAGAAGAATGTAACACAAGTAGAGGTCCAATTATGGGATTTCAAAAGAGCGCTGGAAATGGGATAAAATAAATAAATAAATTCACCTGGTGCTTAATAGTGCAGTGTCTGCTTATCGAGAAGACCGTCCAGCAGCTTGTAAAAACCTAATGTGATACATCCTGGACACATGTGTCTGGGACAGATGGCACAGGAGGATTTACTCCAGGTGCAGAAAAGTGTCAGCAGCCAGTTGAGAGAAGTTTTTAGACCAACACTAAGTGCTTGAATTGTTCTCCCCTTCAGCCAAATAGCAGGGGGCCCCTGTGGTCCCATTGATAACTGATGATATGACAGAAATGATGCAGTTTGCAGCAGCTGCATTAACTTACTGAACTTTAAAGCAATGCTAAACGCAAAATGCTGTTCAGATGAACATAAAAGGGACTCTGCTGTGTCTGTTGTTGCTGTTTCGGTTATCGAATAAGCAAAAAATGCTGGATCACTTAGGCTTCGCTTGCTTTTAATTGACGGTGCATTTCTACGAAAAAATGTCCTTCCAAGGAAGATTTTTAGACTTTCTTGTTGCTGGATAAAATTTTAATTTTCTCAATTTTTTCATTTGGACCTGTTGTGGTGGCTGGCACATTTCAGCGTACATATGATGTATCCTATCATATAACAGCATGCATAATTTCTATTTGTGTGACTTTTTAGCTGATGCACCACTTATTGTGGGTAAGTCTTGATTCCCTAACTTGGTTTTGTTGTCATCTAAGGCTTAGAGATTCCATTCATCAATTTCTGAAAATCACTTGTCCAAATAAGGGTCATAGGTCAGAAAGTGCTTTTCCCAGCGGTCATGGGATGAGAGGCAGGGTAAACCCTGGGCAGGTTGCTAGTCACTTGTATTTTTTCCAGAATTATGAGGTTTATTCCTAACTGAGATCCATGTGACACATATAGTCCTCTGTCAAGGCGTGATCAGTTTTGTTAGTTTGGTTTCTCAGATCACGTGGTCTATCCACAACTAAATATTAACCGCACTTCTTGTAATCCAGTCTTAGGACCTCTACCTTAAATATTGGAGTTATAGACTAAGAAGCAAGGAGAAGATGCAACTCAGGGTGAACAAGACACCAAGAGGAAAGAAGATGCACCCCCGGTTCTCTTTTTTAACGTTCCTAGGAAATGGCGGTACAAAAGTCAGGAAATATGAACACATTTAAAAGGTCTCCGATGACCCTCCTGCTCTCTCTGCTCTCTTGTTCCACACTATAGATGCTGTACTTTTTACTCTCCCAATGGATCTGCTTTATCTTCAAAACATATGGCTTCTGGAGTGATTGATGCAACAATGTTCAAAGTTGATGTGTCTAGCAGGGATTTCCTCTCAATCCTACATTTGATCTCATAAAAAAAAAGATTTAGCTTGAAAATTCAATGTGTTTTTCTACTTTTAACTATCGTTTCTTTTTCTTTTTTTTCCTTCCAGCTATAGCAGAGTTTCCATGCTTGAGCTGATTTCTACAGAAATATAAGGAACTGGATCTAGATACTATATTAATGAATAGAAATGAGGCAACAGCTGAAAATAATAAATAACATCAGCACCTTCTCGCCTGGTTGTCCAGGTGGCCCCGGTAACCCAGGAATACCCCTCTCACCCTGAAAGAATGAACTTGTGTTTAAAAAAAATGTCTGTTAGTCGCTACAAAATCATGCGTGACGCCATAAAGTGTTATTTGACCTTCCTACCGAAACACCGGGCCTCCCTTGCTCTCCTTTGTACCCATCTGGTCCACGTGACCCCTTAAAACAAGGAACATGAAAGCAGCTTTAAATTTTCAACACTCTATCTTATCACTGACTTTTCATCCACTGGTTATTGATTTACCTTAATTCCCGGCGAACCTGGGAGACCTGGAATTCCTCTAAGCCCAGGGATACCCTTGAAATAAAAATAAAAAAAGACAAGAGATGCACACGTTTGTTTAAACATCTGAATCCCCTCCACTGTGTGCATGCTCTCTGGGTGATTCTAGGCTGCGGGCACATGCTTTTTCTGAGTTTTTGATCATGCTGTAGAACATGTGGTTTACTTTTGGATAGTTTTCATCACACAAAATCACCACCATGTTGCCAGTGCTGCTATAAGCAAAGATGTTTCTTATTTAACCACTGGAAAATTAAGAAAGTAAGCACATTTACCAGTGTGTTTTAACATTCTGAAGCAGTCCCGACCACATATAATGAATAAGAAGAAAACCGTTATGATCTACTGGACACAGATACTCAACTGGTTTTCTCAAAAGCTGTTGTGGATGCTGCTGTTGGTGATTATGTTTGTATATTGAACTATGTAGTACTCACAGGCTTACCATCAGCACCAGGAGGACCAGGCTGACCAGGAATACCAATGCTTCCTTGCTCTCCCTAAAGAAAGTGGAATGACATTATTCAACCATGTGTGATTAAAACTGTATCATGCAGTCTCAAAGCAGTAAAGTAATCCATTTAACACACCTCCGGTAACAGTAAACTTTCTCACAGTGTTGATTTAATTTATCTATAAAGAATGCTTAGCAAGCTTGTTTATCTAATGTAAGATGCACCATGTGGGGTCTTAAAGAACATCTGCACGCCAGCAATGTTCCCAGCATTTTGGATCTATTAGTAAATGTAATAAAAGCATACCGGTGACCTTATAAACACAAACATTAACAAAGAGAGTCTTTTGCCAAGCTTATATCTCTCTGAGGTCCTTGTATAACGGCTTTTATGACCGGGGCTTTTTGATACCCTGTGATCAATAATGGCAAACATGTAGGTTTTATTTCCCACTTTGGTAATTTTCCATTGCACCCAGTATTTATCTTTGACAGCAGTCTGGTTTGGTTTAAGAAAAAAAAAGTACAATACTCCGTACATGTCCTTACAAGACAAACTTACACACACAAACACACCATAGCAAGCCTCACTGGAGAAAAAAAGACCACTTGGTGCATTCATAAATTATAATACTGTTAGTTTTCAGCAGGTAACTGTGTGCTTAAGAGCTGAGTGTTAAAACTTCCCACTCAGCACCGTTTCTAACACAATCTGTTTTCACAAGCTAGTAGGATCTGATCTGTTGGTGAAGTGCAACGTGTGCTCGTCATTTACAGGACGTCTGCACACAGTTCACTAAGGCTGAGCTATAAGAGAGGGAAGGTTTGAGTTCTGCCCTAATACAGTTTGTCATTCCTGAGTTTACACATAAATTCATACTGTTAAAGATAAAGTTGCTTTTGTGATAATTAATCTCTTCAGTCCACTACAACTTAAAGCAAATATTTAATGAGCTGTCTGGACACTGAGGAGCTGGACAAGGCAGCAATGTATGCCAAAGCAGGAACGAAGTCAATTTGTCTGCAGTGTTGGCACACAGGCAAAGAAAGATCTTGTGACTAGATTCAGCTCTTTTTTTAATATGAACAGGGCAATAGGGTGTCTGAGCGATCTCATGGTTATATACTGTGTGCAAAGCAAAACGACAAAAGGCAAAGACTGTGAGGAAAGAGACAGAAAAAAAAAACTGACCTTCATTCCTGGTTGTCCGGGAGGTCCAGGAGGACAAACACAAGGTTCTGGAGTCGGTTCAGCGCGATCAGAGCACTGTAATAACCAAGCATAACAAGAAATCACAGCCACACACTAAACATAATCTGCAAAGCTCTGATATTAAGGTTTAGTCTTTGGGTTATTTGGTATTTCTCATTAAAACTGAAAATATGCATCACAGTTTCTTGAAACCACTTTAAAGCTGCAAAACATGAGAGAGTGATATAATATTCAAAGGATGCAAAACAGAGAAAAACAACACATTCTCAAAAATCAGAAGGTGAACGACAAGTGCAGGCTTTAAAAATTCAGTTCAATTCAGTTTTATTTCTATAGCACCAAATTACAAACAAATACTTCAAGGCGCTCTATATTGTAAGTGAAAAACCCTACAATCCCCTGTGGTCGAGCAAATGAATAAATAACATCCTTACATATGAATTGTTCTTGTCATTTTTAATTAAATTTTTTAAGAATTCTAAGAATAGTAAAATAGAGTTGATAACATGATATAAACAGCTTCACTATGTTTAGCTCTAGCCTACTTGCATATGTACACTGGATATGTAGGTGTCAGAGAGCCTCCATTCAAAAGAAAATTGATGACCAATGCTGGAGATTCCAAACAAACCACTGAAAAGCACACACAGAGAGAGGAGAGAAATAGCGATACTTGGAAAGCATTTGTAATTTTAGGCTTCTCATCTTGTCTCTTTTGATATTTTTATCCAACAGCTTCACATGAAAAACAGTTATTTGGCACTGGCTTTTGCGGTTGTAGCAAATCCCAAGCCAACAACGGGCCACTGCTTTGCAAACACAGTTAGAGCCAGCAGGCAATAAAAAATATAGTGCAACATGTCTGAAGCTGAGCCAAGGGTCCTCCTCCAGCAAATTATTCTGCGCATGAACAGATGTGTCTTAAAATTAATATGCTGAGCTTACACCTTCGCTTGTAACGCTGCAACGGACTACTGATGAAATAACAGCAAAGAAAGCATCACTTTACAGTCTGAGGTGTGGAGTTAACCGAGGATGAAATCTTTGGCTCTGCCATCACGGGGCGCATTGCAGAGCAGAAGCAGATGTAATTAGGAGAGGTGAAAAGTAGGTGAAAGTACGTTATCTTTTGGATGGAAAAACAGGTGTTGGGCCAAGCAGACTCATATATACTTACAACTCCAGGTATTTCACAAGCAGTCTCCCGGTTGTTCTGCTCAGGGTCACAGTAAATGCGAAGTTTCTGAATTTCAAACTGGGAAAAAGAAATTTAAAGGAAGAGGCTGTTGTTAGAAACAAAACTTCCGATATTGGGGACAAACAGATTGTAATATGTGGCCAATTACGCGATACTTATTTTAGTTTTATCGGTGCTTTGCCACTAATGAATTGTAACAGCTGTTGTATAACTGCTGAAGAAAAATAAGTGCCCTGATTGGCTGCTGAGCTGCTACACGTTGCCAGACCTCCCTCAGTGTGCACAAATGCTCTGCAGTGATGTTACGCTATTCTTCCATTATTTGGTTTGTTGTGCTGGTAGTGAAACGTCTCCAGGAGTTCCCAGGGACTGCGTCACTTCAGTTACCATGTGAGCATAATAATAATAATTTACATTTTAAAAAAATAACCCAAATCAACACATAGCTTTGATAATGGCACTGACTTTAAACCTAAATAGGTTTGAATATAGTAATATAATTTCTAGTTGGATGAGTTTTACTTATATTGTTAGTGTAAATTGGCTAGTTTTATCTTTCTGTGTTTATAAAGGCTCAATAACAAAGATGTGTTTTCAATTACAAGTGTGTTTATTCAGAAATAATACCATGACTGACATTGTTAAATAGCTCAGAAATTCATGGTCCTTATGACAATGGATAAGCACATAGAAAAACATTCACTGTGTTTAATATTGTGGTTCATGTGAATATATTCCCAGGAATGTTGAATGAATAAAAGTTTCAAAACAAAGGATTTTCTCATGCTTCCCAGTTCTTCACGTGTCTTGTTTTAGTTCTGGTGAATCTTATTGCATTAACTAACACTGTGGCACAACGGTGACATGAGAAACCCGCACATCTATATCATGCATATGGGCCTCGGGCTCCTTTATGTAATTGTTTGTGTTTCATCAAACTAGAGTGCAGAGAACATCTATTCTTCTTTTCAGCGTGATTATTGTTGCCTCACTGAAAACTGACCTCCATATATCTATCTATGGAGCAAATTACAACACAGCACTACTAATACAACATTTTTAGTGCAAATGGTGCCAACTGAGACAAATAAAACAATGATTCATAAGACCATGTGAACAAAAGGGTTCATTTTTGCCAAGGATTTATCACCCACGGAGTTAAACATGTCTCCTAGGAGGTAGCAGTAAACTGCATGGTATTGTGTGATCTAGTTAAAAACATATATCGGCACTGAGTTTGCTTAGCTACTCATTAACCAAATGCTCATAGACTTACTGGCACTGTTGTTTCCTTTCTGACATATTTTCCTACTTGGGTTTTTCCATTGATGAAAATGCCAACAGGGGGCTCCAGTGATAAGGTTTCAATTTCCAAGTCATCAACATAAAGAGTGACATCCTCTTCGGTGACCAGCAGACGTAGCTGGTGCCATTCCTCATCAAACAGCTTCATTTATCATAGAAAAAAAACGAGAATAGCCAAAACACATTGAAACAACCTAGTGTGATGATAAACACATGAAAAGTGAACCTATTATGCTCACTGCCAGATCTGTGTTGTTTTTTCTTTTTCTTGGACTCTAGAAGATTAGCTCTGCATGATTCACAGTTTGAAACTAGTTTTTATTGTAAAATGGGCCTTTAAACAGCCCCTCACTGTCTGAAAACAGTCTTTTTCTCATTGGCTGCCCCTCACAAACAGAAGGTTTGAACAACAAGTGAGTGAGTATATGGCAAACTATAAAGAAGAGCATAATAGGTAAACTTAAAATAAAACTTTGTGTACATTGCTTTGCAACAGTTTGATCTTCTTCAAAGCTATACAAAGCTGGCATCAGGATTCGATTTTGACCCTTACACTTTAATAAGGATTGTTTGGCAGTCATAGCTACCATACAATCTCACAATACTCATTTAGGACATTTTTCCACTTCAGTTTTAAGGATGTGCACAGTTTTATAAACAAATAACAGCAAACTGCTGCCAGGCAGTTTTGAGATGTGAACTAAAAGTGAGAACCAAGATCATCATTTTGATCAGGTGTTTCAGCAAGAAAGAAGATTTTATGTATGTTTTGCACTTATAACTTTACTCCAGTGGGGATCATGTTTTGTATTTCTGTCTGAAAAAGAAATCGCATTTATTGTATATTCTAACCTGTTTGTTTTGTTGTGTTGTACAAAGACATGAAGAGAAGATAAATGACCCAGTACAGCTTAAAAGCATCAGTAAAAACTAGAAAACTATTAAAGGTACAAGAGACAGATTGAACCAGAATGGGCCAAATGAAACCCTTAGAAGCTGAGATAGCCCAACTTTTAGCCACTTGTATGGCTTCTAAATGAGCTTTACATCTTTTCCCATAATGCAAATCTGTTTTGAATTAGCCTGTCTTCCTCTTAAACATCCTCATGTTCTCTGAAATAGCTGGAGCTGTCTTGAAAGGCAAAGAGAACTTACACTGACAACACTTATTTTGACTTAATAAAGCTTTTACAAAACAACAGAGGATACAGCCTTTACACAGTGTTACCTACCTTTGCTGTCTGTTGTGAAAAAGTAACAGTCTGAATCCCATTTGGTGCCTTGCTGGTTGTTGTGAACATGACGGTGTGGTCAAAACCATTTAAAGTTACCGCCATCTGAGGTTTACCATCTCGTGTCTGTACTCTCCACAGGTCCCACTCCTCTTCTGCAAGTGATCCTTTGTACCTCAATGTGGCCACGAAAACATATGAAGGAGGCAGGCCATCAGGAAAAAGGTTCCTGAAAAATAGAATAAATAGAAGATGGTCAGCACGTCATACTTTGTCATACATAAAGATGATAAAGAAAAGTGAAAAGCATCCATAATTACCGTGTAGCTTCACTCAAGTCAACACGAGACGTCACCTGATAGGCCTTAGTGCCATAAAGTGTCCCTTTAGTGTTCTTTGCTTTTTTTGCCAGATTTAAATGTAACAGGATATCAAAGCCCTTCTCATCACGGGAATCTATAGGAATTCTGGCGGGACAAACAGTCTCTGTAACAGAGAAACGCAATAAAAAGGACAAAACAAGAGGCTGGATGACAAATGGAGTTCTTTATTATATTAAGAAAAAACACTATACTACTAGCACGAGAGTAACATTTGACCACATTTAACATCATCATATTGGAGAAGAAAAACACAGACGACAATCAACAGCTGCTTACCTTCACATAGTTTCTGTCTTATGACCTGCCTGATCCTGGAAATAGCTTTGTAGTCCTCAACAGAGAAGACATAAGTTGAAAATGGCTTGTTTGCAATGTCCCTCAGCTCATCCTTTTCTGTCTCTGGACCAACACCAATTGCAAACAGGATTACTCGTTTTTTCCTCGCTGCCTCAGCAGCTTTCAGAACCTCATCTTGAGACTTCCCATCTGTGAGGACAACAGCAATTCTGGAAACGCTCGCTCGCTCAGAGAGGCCAAATAGTCTGTCTGTAGCAAACTCAATAGCTGCCCCGGTATTTGTGTTACCCCCCCTGTATTCAATGGACTCCATCGCCTTGATGAGGTCTCTGTTGGTGGAGTGCTTCCCCAGAGGTATTTCTAAATGGGGACTGTCGCTGTACTGGACGACTCCAACCTGGGTAAACCTCTGCCCGACATTGAAGCTCGTCGTTATGTTGACTAGCCATCGCTTCACTATTTCAAAATTGACATCTTCAACACTCCACGAGCCATCTAGAATAAAGACCAAATCACATGGTGCAGTCCTACAACCTGAAGTGGACAAGAAGCGCACAATTAGCAATGCAAAAAAAAAAAAATTAATAAATCATATTTAGTTGTACGGCTACTAGATATGCAATGCGTTACATGTGATAAATGAAGACAGAAGCATTCTTACTTCTTAGGTCTTCATCTTGAGCCACACTAAAGAAATGGAGAAGCATGAAGCACAGGCATCTTAACACACAATGCATGGATGTTGATTTGTAACCCATTATGGAGCAGTAACTAGTTCCAAATATGCACCTACAGGAAAAGGGAAAAATATGCTTTATATAGCACGGAAAAACAAATGGACAATGCATGTATTTATGACATGGTCACTGTGTATTTCTTGCCTTGAAAAAAGGTAATGACTCAGGCTATTGTTTTCCCAGTTATTATTGTTATTATTAAATGCTTGGCTGACATTTATTTTGGCTCACCCCCAAACCACATGTAGGTGATTATACAGGGTGTGCAATACCTTAAGTTGTGACAAGGATGTTGGCCACATAATGGGTTTTTCAAAATGATGATGAATGATTCAAGCTTTGTGTACACATGCAAATTAGAAGCAACTGTGCAACATTTACGCTTTGAGGTCATGACAATTGCGTGAATTAATGATTCATACTCTAGTTATGCATTTAATGTTTATCCCCTTGTGCTTTTTCTTTTTTAGAACTGTCTCCGCCACAGATATTACTAGAGATCAATGTCTCGTCAAGCTGTCTTGGTCCATTATTAGAAACTATACTGTAAACTTTGTTGTCAGGTTGAGGCCCAAGTTAAGCAGAGGACAGATGGGGTGATCGGCAGATATCGCACTGTGTTTCTAATGAACTGAAACAATAAAGTTGTAGGGGAAAAAAACAGAAAGACAATGACCTTAAAAAGATGCAAAGAGCTGAGATACTGCAGAGTCAGCTAATAATTCATCCTTGAAAGTGACATTTTCACATTAAAGTTGGGTACTTGATTTATTTCACGTTAAAAATAAATATTAGTTGGAGCAGCTTTAAATTCAAAGTAGAATGCTATTAGTGGTATCTTAAACTAACCCTAACCCAAAAAGTATGTTTTGGCATCAGCCACACATAAGGTAATGTAATTGTGACATAATGCAGGACGAGTTTTCACACTACGCTTTTCCTAGAGTGCTAAACCGCAAAAGGAAAAGCTACAGGGTATCATGCTCTGTTGACAGCACTACTCAGTAGCCACCCAGAATATGACATGACTGACTCGCGCTGCTGCTGTCAGGTATAAATCCTATTATCCTGCATTTGCTTACATTCACTTCCTCGCTCCAATGCTGCCACAATTCCCGCGTGACTCCAGAAATTCCATATTTACTAATAAGCACCACTAATCTCCTCACATCTCCCTCGCATCCTTCCTTCATGTGGTGCACAATATTTTTCCGATCTCACCGCACAGCCTCCGCCACCTCAGTACACCTAAGCATTTTCCCTTCGAGCCTCATCAACCACATCCTCACATGGCTCTGTCAGCTTCACCAAGTAAACAATTCATTGGACCTCTGACCACAACTGCTCCGAAAACCAGTGCTCAGTGTTTCCTGTGGGATTATCAGCTGTTTCCTCAAATCTGCTGCCATTTGCCAATCTCTGCCCACCCTTGGCCCAAATACAGGACGCCTGCCCAGAAAAGCTTCACTCCCACACTTTCCCTCCTCCTCTTCCTTCTTTCCCATCAGCACATGGAGAAATGTTAACCGGTGTCTGCCACATGCTGCTAAAGACGTACAACAGTTATGTTGTCAGGTGGGTCATTCTTAAGAGTAAGGTTATTGTAAACTCTGGCAAAATGTTTAAAGTTTTGGCAGAAATGAACATAGAGAATGAAAGTTTGGGGAGATGCCTGCTAAAGTGTTTTGCACTTATGATTAATCACTTTTGTTTTTCTTCCATATTATTTTAAACTCTCTTCGGCTTATTCATCACTTTTCTGGCTCTGCTACATTAGCCTCACTCGTGCTGACAATTTATTAACTAATTGACAAACTCCATCGTGATCTCACTTTCCAGCCTCTACTTATCCACCTGCACAACAATGTTATTGAATGATACTGAAATAAAGCAGTTTCAAGGCAAGTGCACAAAGCAGAGTTTGCCTTTTAACAGTACTTAATACTAAAAATATATGTATGTCTGTATTTTGTTTAGTATACTTTACAAGTAAGCACTAATGCTGTTGCATTATATTGCAGTGTAGTGATCATTATGTTTGTTCTAATAGATATATGAACAACACCGTAAAACGATGAAAGTTTTGTTTTTATATTTAGCATAATGAACTAGAGAGTGCAACATACAACTGTGTGTTGCTTCTCTGGCTCTTCTATTAAATCATCCTTTACAGTGGTTCCCAACACGTGAAAGAAAGAAACTGCTGACATGCTGAAAGGAAGCGGTTACAAATGAGGACCAGATATGCCGCATGCAGTAAAAGACTCAGGCCTTGTGGAAGGAATTTGATGGGAAAAAACTGACCATATACCTTTTTGAAGCTTTTGATTGTGACATGTGAAGGTCAACGAACACACGGAGCAGGATATGACCCCTGGCCTCACGAGTATTTTTATTCCTGTGCGGGCAAAGAGCGGTCACACTCTTTAACATAACTAAGTTTTTCCACTGTGTAAAGTCAGCGTGGAAGTGACACCAGCTGAAGGAGGCGTTAAGCTGCCATCGTTGTGCAAGCCGTTTTCCTCAGAATTTTTTTCCCCCGCTAGAGAGCTGGAGGAGGTTGCTGGAAAACCCCCTCACTGGCAGCGTCCAGCCAGGATGACTTTCCCCTCAACTGACTTTCCTCAAACCGAGTATTTCTACACCTCTGCTCGAGCCACATGGAAATGATTTGCGCCATCAGACAGTCAAATTCCAGCTGTGGACGGTGACCAGACACATGTAGTCATGATGAAGGGAGTCATCCTTCATCGAGGGATAAAGAAAAGCAACGTTGCACGTGCCGTGCCGTCATCCTTCATGCATAATGTAGCAGAGTTAACAGGTGCACTCGTGTTGCAGGTAATGATCCCACTGGCGCACTGATCTCTTGTGTTATTGGAGGCAGCACAGACGCTATTAACCTCCAGGTTTTGTTTTTGATGGTCTCAACAGTGAAGCTGGTATGCAGAGGATTAAATAAAACTAAGTTAAAAGGTCTAAAATAGCTACCACAAGACACTCATTCTGTGCTGAATCTGTTGTTTGCTGCATTTTATTCTACTTTAATAGAATTTTTGTGAAGCTTAGTTTAGTAGCACTTTAGCTCCAGCTGGAAATGCTGTTCAGAAAGCTGCTGAACAAATGATATCTCACATTTCCCCAGATAACATTTCACTTGTTCAGGGTGGGCGACACACACTGAGTCATCACAGATACTAATGAGAGTATCAGACCTCATATTTTAAGCTTAATAATTACACCTTACTTGAAATGTGACCATGATAGCACTTTTTATTACTAAGCTCGCAACGGGAGAAAATTAACACATTTTTCTATTTGTCTTGTTTCTGTAGTGTGCGCAATGCAACTGCAGACTTTAACTCCACGTGAATTGCTGAAGTTAAAGTTATCTGCTGCAAATTTGGCTAAAGGAAGTTGTTCCATTCCAGAAACAACAACTGCTGTTCAGCATGTGCAGCACTTGCCAAGATCGAGGGGATTTATTGCTGCCAAATTCTTCAAGCAACAAGGGAAAGCCAAACCCTATCAGTTGTTCTGCGTGGAAATCTGTTCAACTAATCCAAACGGTTAAATAATGCGTTGTAAAACGTTAGCTCATAGAGGTCCTATAGCTTTTCAGCAAACATCTCCATTTTTAAATGAGTTCATTCCTTATTTATGAAGACGACTGTGCTTGACATGCATGCAATTCTTACATATGTTTAAAAAAAAGTGCACGAGTACAATACATGCAGTGCAGTGATGCATTATCCAGAATGTTTGCAAAGATTTGAGAAATATGACAGAAAAAAACATTTTATGAGAGGAGAAATTGCCAGGAAAAAAAAAATCCTGAGATGAATCCCATTCATTCTTTTATGATAGTTTCATAAACAAGGGACTGATAGCTTATTTAACGTCTTCAATATGCAACTGCAACAAGTCTAGTACACCAAACTAAGCAGTCAAATCTGAGCAATGTTACCACATTATAACACACAGCAGACTGAAAATCATGTCAACATGTGAATGTCAGTGATCATGAACAGACACTTTGAAATGAGCTAACAGTTGTTTTGCTATGCACACACCTATACCTATACAGCACAACAGCATCTTTAAGTCAGTAAAAACAGAAAGGAAGTCAAAAGTTACCAGTAAGCGTCCAAGCACTTGTCTGAATTCCCATTAATCCTCTCATTGAGAGCCAGTGATCAATACTGTTCACAGCCCCAGATTCACAGAAAGTGGATTTCGCGAGAAGTGCACATGTTTCACTGCTGAATGAAAGCCTGCCCTTTCTAGAAGCTCTTCTCTGTTTCTGTCCTTCTTCCTCTCAAACCGGCCCCCCTCACTCCGGACTTTTACTGGCCCGCAGCCACCCTCAATTACCATGGGTGGAAAGAGAAGCAGATAAGGAGAGCATGAAATAGTGAACCAGACAACCCATCTCCAACAGTCCAAAGGGAAAATAATAGTAATGAGCAGAACTTCTTTCCAAGTTTTGAGGGTTTGGATTGTTGCTTAAGGCATAACCAGAGAACATGGAGTTTTCTGCAGGACAAGCAGCATACAGCTTTTGCTGCACTGAGTCACACATATTGTATTCTTTCATGGTACCCTCACCAGGATCAAGAGTGCTCAGCAATGCCTTGCACTACCCCTGTTTGAATTCCCCCTTACTCACTCCAATTCACCACTCAATGGGGCAGCAGATCATGTTCTACAACTCGGCAATAAACAAGGTGTGAAAAGCTACTGCAGTGCTTTTCTCTGCACAGACAGCTGGAAGTCATTAGAAATGCACAACTTAATCTGCTATCTGCAGAGCAGGCAGATTTCATTTTGATCCGCACTAACAAGTTTTATCATGTTTGTACTCAGGAGCAGCCTGCAGCCTGCTCTACAGTTGCAAATTAACCTTTGCAACTGTAGATATAACCAAAACAATGCAAGAAAAACTCAAAAATGTCTCATTTGCATTAAAACAACTGGAATACTAACATTTAATTTCATTATGGGAAATTTATTGAAGTTATTTAATACAAGTAGATGTACTCAAGCAGTTAAAGTAAGATTCCTATTATGTTAATTACCAGTAATAATGAAGATTTGTAATGCAAAATAAAACTAGATTTGATTTTTTAAAAGGCCAGCGTTCCACACTTCTATTTCTGATTATCCTTCATTTGTAATTACATTAAGAATTAAAAAGGAAACTGCACAATTCTTCTTATACTACTCTATACATTACCCCCCTCTGTATAGGGTAAACCAAATTGGTCGACAGCACGGTGATAAAATATCTAAAAATAGAAATGTCATCTTACGCTAAGAGCAGCAGTGGTTCCTTGATGACGCCCTTGTTGACCCTGAGCCTCAGCACACTCTGGTGGATCACACAGGCATATACTAACTTGGTGCTGGGAACCTGGGAGTGGCCAGCCTTCTGGTGAGACCAGACTTTCCAATGCTGAGTAATCTCCTGTCTCTGTGGACTTTAGTTTGTAACCAACAGGAGATGATCATCAAAGAAACCACAGAGGAGAATTTGTATTTATGCTAGAAGAAATCTAGAACGGATCAGTGGTCGTATCTGGAAAATATCTGATCTGAGATTATTCAATTAAATGGCACAGGACACTTCAGATAAGCTGTTTTAAGGAAAGCATGAAATAATCAATAAGTCTTATTTGATTAATCTTACTTTAATACACAAAACTGTTGTCTGTGTGTTTGTTTGTTTGTTTATCTGCAAACTGCTCCTACATGATCAGGATTTGAGCAGTAAAACTTCGCACAATGTTGCATCTTAGGTCCCTCAGGGTTCTCATCTATACCATGTATCATGATGTCATCATAATTCTGTGCAACCACCTAGCATTTGGCTAAAAGTGACCTGTTTTCACATTTTAGTACCCCTTTTTTTTTAAATCATCATTGATATTTACACAAGTTATACAAGAAATATTATGGCACCGTCATGATACTTGGCAACCACATAGAAATTGGTTAAAATGGCCTGGTTTTTTTGTTTTTGTTTTGTTTTTTACCTATGTTAACCTACAAGCATCCCATCATTTTAATTTTATGACAATAACATGTAATTTATATCTAGAAATGCTCAGTAATGCAGATCATAATGCAAACACCTACTAAAAGGCTAAAAATTACCACCCTGTGTAATACAAAATGGACAGATTTCTTCCTTCAAATAAAATACAGACTCAGCTACTGTAGCCATGGTTATTGTACAGCTGTTAACAGGGTTAGGGATTGGAGCAGAAAAATCCCTGATGGTGGTGCAACTATACAGCTGTATATATATCTACAGCTGCATCTATAGATATCGATAGATAGATAGATAGATAGATAGATAGATAGATAGATAGATAGATAGATAGATAGATAGATAGATAGATAGATAGATAGATAGATAGAT